TTTCATTTCTCTCACCTGTAACATTGACGTTGTCTGTAAAGACAGGATTCTTCCAKCTGATTACTTTATATGGATCAGAACTGACTTCATATATATTTGGTGGACAATAAATGACGCGAGGGGGAGTTTTGTCTATAATAGAAACATCATTATAGTATTGCAGAATGCTAATATCCAACCAATGAGGTGAATTATCAAGGTTGAGCAATATGCCTGGAGAGGGGAAACACTGAAACTGGGTGGCTGTCGCCAACCCTGAATTTTTTTCTGCATTATTTATTTGCTCAGTAATTAGAAAAATGTGAAAAATGGAAATTGGAATGGAAATTTCAAAAAATACTGTTTTGTCCAATCTGACAATTTCATTTGGCATGGTCAAGTAATATTTTCATAGATTCGCAGCATATAATATGTTCTCGAAGCCCCTTATGAAATTATATCCTACCTTGTATGATGACTTCTGTTTTGCAGGATGCAGTAGCTCCATTACCACTTGTTGCCACATACTTCAGGCTCGTTATGCCAGCTGGGAATACAAGGCTTGTKCGGTACTTCTCTGGAAACATTTTCACGTTCTTTGTGTTGCTTTTTGGCTTCATGAGTAGAGCTGAGACGTCAGCTGTATTGGCGTTTGGGTCAAGCACAATAGTCACATCCGGCGGACAATTAATCCAGGGTTTGATGTATACTGATATGAGGAAAAATAATCGAAACTTTTTAAAAGACCTTTTAACAATTTTGCGACGAAAGGATCATCAAACACTGTTTGATCTCAAAAATCATTTCGTATCGATTCAAGTTGATTTTGCAGCTGGTTCTTTATTTTGCTGCAAATTTTTTTTTTCTATAAGTACGCTTGTTTTCCAGCACAATTAAGTCAAAGACTAGGCGTGGCGAACGTTGTCTGCATATATCGCTTTAGGCAGTRTGCGTTAGTCTGAGCTTCCCTAATTTTCAGGACACTTGTTTAGTTGTCTGGCTAGAACGGTTTGAGACGTTTGAGAACATTTTCTAGTCGTATTACTATTTTCGGGGTTTTAATCGTTAAAATACCAGATAGAGAAGATATCCAGGCATATGTCCATCTATGTGTGTCTAATCAATTCCATCAGTTCATCCATTATTGACATTATCAATAACTGACCTTTCTCACACGTTATTCCTGTTTGGATGTCCCAATTTCCATCACTTTTGCAATCTCTTTTAGATTTTTGTCCTGTCTTCATGCTGTACCCAGTATTGCATCTGTAATAACAGGACTGTCCAAACAGATTTCCTGTGCTACTACAAAACGGCGGAAAGACATAACCATTTGTTGGCGGAGCAATAGCGTTACATCTCACAGCTGCGGCAAAGAAAGAGCATTATATTAATTAATCTTTTCAAAAACCTAAATCTAATATCATCATGGGTATTTTTATGTAATTTTCTCGGTTTTAATCATCAAACTCTTGGATATCATGCTAGTCTTATTCAAACATATTCTTTTGTTAATTTATCAGTATACAGCTGTTTGCAATAATTCTGACCCCCTCTGCCATATTTCATATATATCAAACTGACCTTAAATATTATGGGATATCATGACTGATATATTTTTTGAGTTGCCCAGAATGAGTACTTTCTCAAAAAAATATCAGCATTGGTATCCCATAATTTCTAAGGCTACTTTGATATATATGAATATTAGTGTAGGGGGGTCAGAATTATTGCAAATAGCTGTATCAGCTACCATATCTTGATATATCTATTATGCTTGGTAGCCTTGAGAATTTCTTCAAATGACTGTATTTTTATTTACTATTTGATTGATACTTTATAACAGTGTACTTTAAGCCTTCTAAAGTCTACAATACGTTCTATTATTCCTTACTGCTTGACAATATTTTCTTTTCGTTGTCTTTTCCGTGATTTTTTATCAAAGCAAAAGTTTCATTATCAACAATAAAACATAAACAGATGCTTACGACGACAACTAATGAGTGGCATGTCCCAGTATCCTGTGTCCAAGCAGTTCATTGTATCCTTAGAGGGGTCTGGGAGCTTGTACCCAGGTTCACAACTGAACGAACATTTGTCTCCAACCTTTCTAGAGTTCTTCACCAAGCAGGAGTCTGGGCTGACTTGTGTACCTTGTGCCTTCACAAGTGGCGCGCATGACATTACTGGAAAGAAATATGAGATTGTGATTTATATTCACATTTCTTTTGTTGTGGAGACGTCGATTTTTGCTTAGTTTATCAAAGGACGCATCATTTTCGGATACAGTCGGACACGCGTGGACAAGAGCCATAATTGATAGTAATATTCATAAATATTATCGTTTAATACGATGCATATGCCATTATAGGTATCCCCCTTTTACACTCACGTTTACTTAAATACTTATATTTTTCTATATGAAAGTTAGATGCTCAATCTTATACCGAAAATATTATCATTGACTTATTCCAGATACTAAATTCCAGATCCAAATGTGCCTTGGGAGATTATRATATGTATGTATATGTTCAGTAGCATTTTTATCAAACTTACGTTCGCATTTGTTGCTGTTACTCGGTATAATTTTATAACCTTTCTTGCATCGACATTCGTAGCTCCCCATGTAGTTGCTGCAAGTCGTTGATTGGCTGTCACATCGATCAGTATTACGTGCACATTCATCAATATCTGTATAAGCAATGCGGTTTAAAACGCTCTATTCACCTTTGGTTCACATATGGACATATTGTAAGTTATCAGGATTCTAAATGAAAATTGTAGTCCTGGTTACCCCATCCAACGTCTTTCTTACAGCTTAGTTTCCCTTTGGTCCGAGTTCAGTGTGTCACCGTTTGATCGACTAAATATCATCCAAATGGATTTATACAGCCTAGTCCCAAGGAATTTAATCAGGGACGTGTAGCCCTGGGGCGAACGCCTGGGATTTATGCTGGCCAAATATATAATAGTTTTTGTGAGGATTTTTTTCTTTCTATGTATCCTTTTTACGTACATACCCCGACATTTGTAAGTATCGTAGAGCTCGAATCCATCTTTACAACTGCAAGTGTAACTACCATTATTGTTGTTACAGAACATTTCACATCCTCCGTTACCAAGATAGCATTCATTGGTGTCTAAAAACAATATTAATAAAAGGTTATGATGACTAGCTAGTAGCTCAAACTGATAACTCGAGTTACAATATTTTGGAAAAGTTTGAATAAAACCATTCGTCCCAGCACTAAACGTCAGGCAGTCGATTTTTTTTGTAAAAAATCATCGGAACAACTTGAATCTCAATTAATACAACAAGGGAAATGCAATTAAGACCGAATAATGTTGTTCGACAAGTTTCAAACGCAAGCACGGCACTTTGAGATTTCTCAACTGCCTTACGTTTAGTTCCAGAACTAAACGTCAGGCAGTCGATGTTTTCTTGTGAAAAATCATCGGGACAACTTTCAGTTCAATTAATACAACAAGGAAAATGCAATAAAGATCGAAATAAGGTACTTGTCAGAAATTAGCAGGGGGGAGTCATTATTATCATTCACTGGCTGCTTGGGGGCAATTATAAATTGTTGTGATAATGGTTGAAGGGACTAAACGTCAGGCATTCAAAAAATCTCAAAGTACCGTGCTTGTGACTATACAAACTCAGTCGAACAGTATTATTTCGGTCTTTATTGCATTTCCCTTGTTGTATTAATTGAAATTACAATTATTCCGACGACTGTTTRTGAAAAAAGCGACTGCCTGCAGTCTAGTTCTTTGTTCTTTCGTTCTCTATCATAGCATAAAAAAAAATTGTTATTAAAAAAACACAAATTCTACAGTTGATATAAATATTTAATTATTGACATTTTAGCGCTTCCAAAGTGTATTGCTGATACTCAGTTGTTTAATAGGAACATAAACAGCTTGACTGAYAACATGGTATCTGCGATAGTCCTCTCAGTTTTGTTGTATTTKMGCGGCTTCAAATCTTCGCAATCTCAGGTKGTTAATCTTGACAACACYGAAGGAGAATCCATTCAAAACTTTCACAAATGTTCAGAGGGAAAATYATTCTCTAAACTCGGGACTCTTTTGTCCAACGAAACAACTGGTAGCGTTAAAGAATGTTGTTTTAAGTGCGTACAAAACAAGGCATGTTTGTCTTTGAACGCGATTGCACTTGATCAATCGCAATATCAATGTGAGCTTCTAAAGTGGTCAGGGACAGGATTTGATGAATATACCATACCAAAAGGAAGCTCCACGTATTGGCAAGCGCAGGTTAGTGATCATGATCGGTTTTCAAAGAAATCTTTAGCCTCAGTGTAAGTTGCCAAGAAGAAAGACTAACAGAAAGATGATAAGAGGACAAATATCTATCATCATGCAGTTTATATTCAAAAGCTAGCAAAAAAACAAAACAAAACAAAACAAAAACAAAACAAAAACAAAACAAAAACAAAAACAAGAACAAAAAAAAAACAATTAAGTTGATTAAGAAATGGTCTTTACTGACATCTTTTAGGGTAACTGCATGCATTACAGTCCGATGAAGAAAATAACAATCTAAAGAAGAAGTTGCCAAGTTTAGTTTTTATTAGATTTTTACTCATTGAAAACAAATGACCGCAATTGTTTTTGGATATACTTCAAACATTAAAAAAATTTTAATAATTAAAATTATTAATGTCAAAATAGCGTCATTTTTGTTGTTTTGTCATTTGTTTTCAGCTACAGCGCGTGAAAACTTTCTTAATAGCCTAATATATGGATATTTCTAAATAGGATGCATCATTGAAAAGCAGTCATTGTGGCAACATAATTCATCTGGCTTCTTTTGATCCTAAAATTACAAAAACAAAAAAGAGGCTTTATATAATATGGAAATGTTTATCTAAATAATTTTGAAATGAACCACATGCAACTAWACATTGTTGATCATTGTTGAGCTATCAGTCCAAAAAGTATCGAACTATTGGGTTACATATTGGGCTTTTATATCCAGATAAAGTACTGATGTTTTATTATTAAGTTTCATATCAGATATATAAAACTGATGTTTTATTCATCTTTACTCCGACGAAGGATTAACATCCGAAACGTCAGTAAGTTTTTCCACATACTTTTTTTACGGTGTTAAATTTATCTTTTTACATAACTGTTTCCTTAGAAACACCGACGCAGCTCACACTAGTTTACCGCTAGTTCCCACCACTGTTTTATTGATAAGTTCTATATCAGATATAAAGATCTGATATTCAAGGTCATCAGCGCTTTATCGCAACCCAACACTAGCAAATGTCGCATCATAGACCTTTGCTTGGTTTTAAATCATTATGAATCGATCGGCAGGCATGCACTTTAGCATAGGCTAGCCGTTCTTCCATGTGGGATCAAAATTATTTCAATTGTGGCACATGCACATGCTCATTAGAAGTTGAATATGCATTATCACTGTTTTCGCATTTTTTAGCTTTTTTCTAAAATGATAACAATTTCTGGATGTTGAAGTTCCTGCGTCTCGAATGCTTATATCGCGATAAARCACGCACTCTCGCGTTCTATAAACAACACATATTGCTGTCAAGGACTTCAGGCGCTAATTCCAAAAAGCGTCYAAAGCGTTTAAGTACACAGGATAGCATTAAACATTTTTTTTCTTTTCAGACTGTCTGTTTTCCTGCAAATCCTTGTCAAAATGGYGGACAATGCACCGTGAAAGATGGAGGAGCAAGCTACACCTGCACTTGCGTACATGAGAATACCTATGGAAAGAATTGCGGACTTAAAAGTAAGAAAAACAAATGTTTGGTTTTAAATTGGTTTTTCACATAAATTCAAAGACAAAAAAAAGGATTAGTTAAAGTTGAGTGAGTTAACTTGTATTCATAATACACAAAAAATGCKAARTAAACTAATGGGGACTTTGAAATGAAAACCCCTCTGTTATAAGAGTTATCTCATCKTTATCCGCAGAATGCGTTCTGTTTGACTTTGAAAGTGGTCGACTTCATAACTGGACCCTGCACGGTACAGCATTCAACAATCAACCAACTTACGGAGACAATTCTCTTGCAAGAAAGAATTCTTCATCCAACCTCAAAGGAGATTGGTACATAGCCACATTCGAAAATAGATCGGATCCTAATTATCCAGTTGGGTTACAAGGGAATCATCATACTGGCACCGCGACCTCGCCCCAATTTGTAATTCGAGGAACAGAAATGAGGTTTCTTATTGGYRGGGGCTCTAACATCACTACTAATAGACTCGAACTGCTGTTTAACGGATCGGTTTTTGCCAAAGCAACGAGTCCAAAAAAARGCGATGGCATGAGYCAAAAAGAGTTCGATGTGTCATCTATTAGAGGCCAGGTAGCTCAGATTCGAATCGTTGACGAATCGTCAGTTTCATGGGGTATTACCAACGTTGACCACATCGAGTTCTTGAATTGCTAA